GGATCACGCCCTGGGCTGCAGGTGGTGCTAAACCACTGTGCCACGGGGGCTGCCCTGATTTATGATTTTCAAAGCACTTTTCACATATATTCTCTGATCTGATGCTCACAACAACCCAGTAAGCCAGGCTGCATTGTTTTTCATCCCTTTTTAGGAAACAAAGACTTATAGCGCTCAAAGTGACTTGCTCAAGACCCCTCCTGATTAGTTGAGCCAGAACGCCAGCCCGGGGTTCTCCAGTTGTTATGCTTTTATCATGTCCAAAGCAAAGAGGGGCAAATGTGGGGATAAAAAGAAAAGATATAGTGATAAATGGAAGCACATTGGTGGATTTGGGGGTGGAGATACCTGCAAAAAAATGTGGCCTTTTAACAGCCCTGGGACAAGTCTAGGGTGAGCAAAACTGAGCTCTTATCTTTGAGGCATACAACAACAGGCACCCAATGGGAAGAAAATGCTAGGCTGGAACTGAAAGTGCCCCTTTGATACCCTACTCTGTGATTAACATTATCTTAGCACAGAAGAGGGCATCTCTTCGAAGCCCTTCTTTGGGTTTGTGGCTGTTGTGTCAACCTGGACATTCAGGTCACTGTTGCTGCAGTGACTACAGAGGTGCCATGGATTCCTTTACAGTTGCTTTAGGAATTCCCTAGGAGACTGTGCTAAAGGTCCTTAGTGTCAGATGGTTCAAAGAGGAGATTCTTGTAATAGTTCTGCTATTGGCAAGGTGGTAGGAGGAGGCTTTCAGGACACAGCAGCAAGATGTTTTATTGGCACCCCCTCACTGTGCTATGGCTCTCCTGAGGTTCCAGTCCGATGGGAGTATATGGGTGAAACCTTAAATCTCAAAGGGATCTTCCTTAAGACTGACATGTACTATAGTCAGTCACTTGATACATGAGGCAGATGACCCAGACAAAAGTGGCTACTACTAGGGTGTCCACATATGGCTACACAGTAGAATCACCTGGAGAGCTTTTACGATCCCAGTGCCCAAGTCATAACCTATCCAAATTAAATTACAGTGTTGGGGCTAAGAGTCAGATAGCAATATTTTTTAAAGACCCCAGCTGATTCCAGTGCATTGCACCTTTTGCAACTAATGGGCTTATGATTTGTCTGACATCACACAAGTGGGGACAGGAACCTACAATGGTTAAACTCCATTGTTTTTAGCCAAAACTAACCCTTGCCTTAAAAATGAGATGAGTAGATACAGCATTATTCATGACTACACTTCAGAGTAATATGTTTACCCCAGTTCACGGATAGAGAACATAAGTATGTTTTCATTTGGCCTGTGGGCCCTCCTTAAATGTGGAAGGAGGCATTCATTCCAGTGATGCTCACTCCAGTTGTAAACACGCAGTGACATTCACTCAAGTGTTTGCAGGGGGCCTATTGTGTGCCAGGCATTTTCCTGGGCTGTGGGGATAAATGGTGAACAAAGAACAGAAGGCTTTGCCCTACCAGAGCTTATCAGCTAATGAAGGACCCAAAGACATATTTCAGCAATTCCAGCACTTTAGGGTTAAGGCTGAGATGGGAACTTATTTTATTCATTTTTAACTGAGCCTTGTTTCTTGAGGAGGATTTGTGGCAGCAAAAACACACATAATGAAGTTGTTAGGATGTAAATAAGAAACAGAAATCAAGACTAGAGAAAATATAAATAAGAGTAGAGAGTCAAGAACAGAAGAAAAATTCATAGTTATGCAAATCATAAGGATCCGCTTGGGCTGAACCTCAAATTTGGCATTAAGTGTTCTGGCAGCCATATTGGAAAGGGAACTATGGTTAATTATTATTGTCAGAAAGACAAAAAATGCCAGCTCCTCAGGGAAGGAAAGGCTTTCCTAACACTTGGCTCTTAAGGAAATGTCTCATGTGGAATTTTATACAATCTCCAATAATATTCCTACAGTGACTGCAAAAACAGGTTTTATAAGGCAGTACCTTGTAGGCCCTACAAGGAAAGGGAGGATGTGAAATGAAAATGCAATTTAATAAATCTATTTTTTGTCATGAGTGGTTGGTCAGAAGTAAGTTGAATCAGGTCACATATAGGTCCAGATGAATCTATGGCTAAAATACCCAGAGAAGTGCATGGATTGGATACTCTTCATTATTTTTCTCTAATTGGGATTTTGGTAAGTCACATAGATAAAATATTTTTCTGGGGTAGAGTTGAAGGTAAGTATTTTGTGTTGTGGATAATGTAATGGTTTATTACAGGGGTTAGCTAACATTTCCCATAAAAGATAATAAATAGTAAATATTTTAGCCCCTATGAGCCAGACTGCCTTTGTCCTAATGATTCAGCTCTTCAGTTATAACACAAAAGCAGACCTGGAGAAAATATAAGTGAACAGGGCTGGCTGGGTTCTGGTAACACCTGATTTATAAAAATAGGTGGCAGGTCAAATTTGGCTGACAAACTATATTGCCAACCCCTGGTTTAACCTGAAAACGAAAAAAAGCAAAATGGATTCTTGGGATGCTTTTGTTGGAATTACAAAACATTGAGAAACTTGGCAGGTCTTGGCCAGTGGTGACTCTGGCCTCGTAATTTAATTGAAAGTAGGTGATTATGCACACTGGCAAGAATATGGCTCACTTTCAGGGTACACATTAATTGTAGTTCATTGAAGTTCATTAAATTCATTGAAGGAACATGCAGATGCCAAAGCAATCCAATACAACTTCATACATCAGAGTGACACTCAACAGGCATGGATCTGGGGCACAGTTCTGCAGCATAGAACTGAGTCTAGAACTTTTGTCCTCTCATGTGGAGGAGACATGGGGTGGTTCTCACATGGAGGTCTCACAAAGCAACAGGATTTCTCTGGTAAGATCTTGTGGGTGGTTTCTTAAGAAGGGGAGAGGTGGAATTATCAGCAGCACCTCGCGTGTGCCTTTATCGGCTGTTCAAGCGCAAAATCTGTTCCAGGCTACTACATGTAGATTCCACCTAGTCTTCTAGAAGTACAGCCAAAGATATGGTGACCCACAAGGAAACAAAATAACATGATTTTGCTGTATAAAAAAGCTTAGTTGTGAGCTGATAATACATACTGTTTATTTATTTGAGAGAGAGAGTGCACACCAGAGGGAGAGCACAAGCAGAGGGAGTAACAGAGGAAGAGGGAAAAGTAGAACAGGGAGCCCAATGTAGGGCTCAATCCCAAGACCCTGGGATCATGACCTGAGCCAAAGGCAGACCCTTTAATGACTGAGCCACCCAGGCGTCCCTAATAATACATGTTGACAGTTTGTTATGGCCTGAATTCTGGAATACCTCCTACTGGGTGTATACAAATCTGGGATTATTAATTAATTCTTGGTTAATTACATTAATGGTGACATGGGAGCTACAGGAAAGGATTGAGTTTGAGAGGTCATCAGAAAAAGGGGGTCTCAAGTGGTTTGGAATGTACAAGAACAGGTGGCTCAGGACTTTAGCCTTCAATATTGCTTTAACCAACTTATGCATAAACCATAGTCCTGAGTGACCAATTACCTACTCATGTGTCCCATATATGGTGACAAGGTGAGTGCAAGCTTATTAAGAACACACAGCTTCGAAAGAGTTTGTAAAAACATGACTGTGGGTATAGTTGTGGAACCTTTGGGACCTCATCGTCTGAACATAATTTGGTCTAGAACCCTTCCTGAGTAGTAGGGAATTGGGGCATTTACTCCATTTGGAATGTCCTAACTGTTCACTCCTCCTGCAGCAGGAAGTGGTTAGGAAAATGGTTGCTGCTTGTAATATGTTGCAATGACTAGTCCAGGCTTATGGAGAGCAAGGACTGTGTCTTTATCTTCCTATCCCCAGGGCTTAACCGAGGACCCAATCCCCAGGGGCTGCTCTAAAATGTTAGCCCAGTGAATGAATCCTGGTCAGTTTCATCCTGTTTGCAAAGCTAGTATCCTAGAGAGAGGAGCTGCCAGGAAGGGAGCTGGCTCCTTTTTTTGTTACACAAATCGTGGCAGACATTGAATCACTCCGAAAGAGACTAAGGCTATTGTTTTGGGATTGGAACAAAATATGTCTACAAGATGTAAAAAGCAGAAAACCATTCAGATAGAATCACAGTGGCCCCCACCCCACCCCAGCAGATATGGGGGTAGGGTAAGGGACTGGCAGTCAGATTTATATGGCAGGTATATTTTTAATCATGGCTTATTCCTAACAACCAAGATTTAAGGCCAGACAAGTTTCAAGGGCAAATTTCTTAGGGAAAATGTCTGATGTCAGAGCTGCCTGAGACTTCTCCTTTTTCAGAAATAAGTGGCCAGGCTTAATTATTTTGTTTCCTCCTCTTCTTTCCTCTGGCCCCTGCCAGTATGCTTATTTATAACAAGGGCTTTATCAGTTGACTTAAGAAAACACATTTCCTTCAACAAATGTTACAATATCATCTTATGGTCGTTTTATTTTTCAAATATCCCCACCACTGATAAAAACAGATCCGTAGAGAATGGAGATACTGTGAGCCAAAAGCAAATTAATGCTGCCACAGCTCTGCCCCCATGCCACCCTGGTGGCCAGGTCTTAGAGCAAGAAGGAAGGACAGAGCCAAGGGGATGAGGTTGTACCCAGGAATCCCAGAACCCAGCTGAAGCTCCAGACCTGAGCCTTTCATTGTAGGCTTCAGTTGAATGTGGGCGTCAGGTGAATCAGAACAGATGAACTTAACTTTGCTAAGCCTAAAGTCACACGGGGGTAAGCTTATCACAGGCAATTTGCTTTACTGTAATAGAGAAATTGCCTACTCCCATTGCATCCAGTAGGCTTCTAAGGGACATTTATTAAATATCATCTCCTCCTTGTCCCTCCACCTCTTTCTGGCTCCCACATCTCCAGACCAAAGAAACTTGAGCACCTGCTCATAGTTTGGCCCCTAGGTCTCCCCCAGCATTAACCACAAGTAGGTATTCATTGTGACTTCCTATGTGTTCATTGGCTCACTGATCCATTCTGGGTATTCCAGGGCCTGAGGATCATTTTCTCGGACGCATCACGGCTCATCTTCCGGCTCAGCTCCTCCAGCGGCATGCGGGCCACCATCAGACTGTACGCGGAGAGCTATGAGAGGGACCCCAGCGGTCATGACCAGGAGCCCCAGGTATCTTCAGCCCTGTGTGTCCCATCACTTCTGGAAAATTTAGGGAGCTCTTGTGAGCTCATAGTTAAGTTCTGGAAAGTAAGTTCTGTATTGATAGATCCAGCTGAAGGACAAGCTTGCAGTAACTCCAGGCAGATTGTATTCATTCATTCATTACAGTGTTTGGAACAGAAAAGTTCGGCTCTGGATTCTATGATGAGTGTAGGCCAGCGTTTCCCAAATGACTTTCCCTTCTTGATGGTTTTGCAGTTTGTTAATCGGGGTGACATCAAGAAAAAGCACCTTGTACAGATAAAGAAATTTCTGGTGAGAGCCAAGCTGGTCCAATTCCTCTGAGCCTTGACTCTGTGCTTGTAGATAATGAATCTCCAGGTGTTTGGCAGACTCTGAGTTGGATCGTGACCTTGAGGTGTGAACGTGGATGGGCCTCCTGTCTGAGATCTCTGCAGAGCCCAGCTTCTCTTGAGGGGCGATGGCTGGTCTGTATTTAAATTTAAGGGAGGCTGAGGTAGACCAGCCAAGGCCGGGCTGCCTTGTGTTTGGCAAAACCCCTTATGTTGTCAACAATAGAGCTAATTAAGAACTCAGAAAAAAATTATAAATAGCTCAACCGTAAGCATCCCCACTCTCACATTCATTAAAGCTGCAGGCAGCGTTAATTAATAGCAGAAAGGACCCACCAAGCTACACTGCTGGCTGACCCTGGCCCCCTGGTCTCTACTTCACCCTGGGGTTTGAAGCACAGTCCTTGATGAGGATTTCTTGAGGTGAAACCAGTAGTTCTATATGCAATGCTTCTTTTGTGGAGAAGTAGAGAAGCAAAGAAAAACTCGCTGCTGCTCATTTTAGAGTTCCAATAATAATCTGCCATCCTTGTGCCCTAGAATGATATAAGTAAGGGTTTTCTTTCTTTGTCAGTGGTTTAGTGTGTTTTTCTTAAAATGGTATCTTTCCTGGGAGCATCGCAAAGAACTTGACAGATAGGGTGCCATTGATCCTTACAGCTGATGCTGTAACCAGAAGATACGTTTGAAGTCACATCATCTCAGATGCAGAAGGAGAGGCCTGGGAGGCTGAGAGCTATTGTCAGGGTCACCAAGAGCATGAAGCAGCAGAGCATGAGGCTAGTATAAAGTCCTCAGCCCTTCCCCATCAGAATCACAGGTTTTCCATGCAAGGACGGGCCATGCTCTGCCAACATAATTTGTCAGTGAGTACATTTCACCCAAGATAGTACCAAATCATGTAAGAATTGGAGGCTTACCCTCTCTTTCCATATAAAACCCTTCTACTTCTCATGTTGGGAAACCAGATTGAAGCAAGAGCCTAAAAGTCCAGAGCTACATACAGGGTGAGGAATGATATTCCTGGCCTCACCAACTCTGACTCACTCTGACTTGAGGCTATTTTTTCTCAACATTCTTTTCCCTATTTGCACAGGGTAAGTGGTTATGATTATTTGCTTATTTTTATTTACCTTCCACACTGACTGCAGGCATATGATGTCCAGGCCTTTAGACACGTATGAAAACGATCTATGTTCCACAAAAGCCAAGTGGTGCCACTTTTTTTTCCCCCAAAGCTTCCTTTGAAGCTGAAAACCTCCATAGCCCTCCTGCTAGAGCATTGTGTGTTAAGCATATACTTCAATCTGTGGGTGAAGAAAACATAAGTAATGCTTGTTTCAGCGGCCCATACTGGGTATTTTTCATCCTGTTGGCTTAAAGAATTTGCCATTTTGAATGGTTGGGGAATCCTTTCATTGATCTTGTTCTTCTGATCAGTAATTGGCCCTCCCTTTTTAATCATGAGCGAGGGTCTTCCCAAACCTGGCTGGGTGGGCCTTGCCATATTTAGCTCATGATTCAGCTCATAATGTTACATTAAAGTAGAACTCTTCATTGAAATAGCTTGTATCATTGACTCACCAACTGACAGCCTATTGCATAATACATTTAAGTCAAGGTATCATTTAGAATGAGGTTTTAAAAGACATCTATACCCCTAAGGAAGAAGAAGAAGATGCTCAGCAGGCTCACCTGTCTCAATACTGCTGAATCATTCCTAGGAACTTAAGTTTGACTGTTGGGGCCTCCTTATTGCCTTGCTTCCCAGGACCCCAGCTTCTGCCTTTGAAGAGCTCTGGAAGAAAAAGCCTTTGGCCAACTGTTAACAGAGATCAAAGATAAGGCATGCTTGCTCCTCAGGGTATTAATAATCCGGGGCCTGATGGCAAAAGACCAGCTATGTTGCTTCCTCAGCTGCAGAGACCTCTTCCTCCATTCTAGCTTGTTCCGATTTGCAGCCCAGAAAGCAGAACAAATACCCATCTCCCCCGACCCCACACACTCAGACACCTAGTCAAGTACTTCTCGAATGTCTAGAGATTCCATTGATAAATTTATCCAATTCAACAGGTATTAATGTTTTACTTGCCTTAACTTGAGACCCACTGCATTCCAGTTAATAGCAAGAGGAGTAGAGAGTTCTCTTCAACTGGCTTCTTGGCATCTGGCTATTTTACTTTGGATGGGTAGTTCCTTGTCTATATATCTTTTTAAAAGTTTTTATTTAAGTTCTAGTTAGTTAACATGGAGTGTTATATTAGTGATTCAACAAATATATAGTGATTAAGCAATATAGTGATTCAACAAATCCATACATCACCTGGGGTTCATCAAGTGCTCCCCTTAATCCCCATCACCTATTCCCCCATCCCCCACTCCCCCCTCTCTCTCTTCTGTTGATCATCAATTTGTTATTTATAGTTAAGAGCCTGTTTCTTGGTTCGCCTCTCTCTCTCTTTCTTTTATCCCTTTGCTGCTTTATTTCTTAAATTCATATGAGTGAAATCATATGGTATTTGTCTTTCCCTGACTGACTTATTTCACTTAGCATGATACTCACTAGCTCCATCCAGTCATTGCAAATGGCAAGATTTCATTATTTTTGATGGCTGAGTAGTGTTCGGTGTGTCTATATATACACCACATCTTCTTTATCCATTCATCAATTGATGGACACTTTTGTCCTGACATTTTAAAAATATTTTATTTATTTATTCATGAGATACACAGGGAGAGAGAGGCAGAGACGTAGGCAGAGGGAGAAGCAGGCTCCATGCAGGAAGCCCGATGTGGGACTTGATCCCCAGACCTGGGATCACAACCTGAGCCAAAGGCAGCCGCTCAACCGCTGAGCTACCCAGGCATCCCTTGTCCAGACATTTTAAAGACATGTGAACATATTTTAAGCATTAATACTATGGTAGCTTTGTAAAAGCATTTGTAACCATCCTAGGGATGTACCTAGGAAAACCTGTAATATAATCCATATCCATAAAAATCCCTGCTCCTGCCTGTGGATTTATTTGAGTCCATTTTTACAATATTTACTATGCTATTTGTTTTAAATGATGTAAAATAATTTCTTAATTACATCAAAAATGTTTTTTAAGAATTCTATCCATCTAGACCTAGGACTGGGTGGTGAGGGGAGGAAGAAGATGGGGGCCCTAGACAGGGGAGAAGGTACTTGCCTTGCCTTTGCTCTGGTCCTTGGTTAATCAGGAAGGAAAGCCTTCAAGGCCTGTTTCAGGAGGATCACATAGTTTTGAAAATACAAGATTACTTTAATTTTACTGGCAATCAGTAGGCCTTCCTTCAACAGCCCTCAAACCAGCTGGTAATAATTTGGAAAAAGGGATGAGCCAAAGGATTTAAGTTCACCGGTGACCAGAAATAGTCTATTTGTTTTCAACTTTCTTTCCCACCAAGCTTATTAGCAGGACTGCTCAATTAACTTTTTATTTACCTTGTCTCCTTTTCCTTTTGAACCTGAGGGTGGAGTAGCTAATGAACAATAAAAGATCCAAAAGGAAAAGGAAGGAGAAGTTTTGTTAAGGGCTGGATAATCACAGCCTGATAATCAGCTCATGGCTAATCAACAATTGGCTTTGGTACTTTAATTGCAGAATAAAGCCACACCCTATCTCACCCCAAGCTTTGGAAGGAGACCAGTTTTCCCCAACCCTCCTTACGGTTGAGGGAATTTATGTATTTCTGATAAGCTTTATATAGAATACTTTAAGAACCAATATCTCAGCACCAAGAGTCATATATGGAATTCATCTATCCAACCAAGGGCTGGTGGCCATCTTGCTCTACTTGTTCTTATTATGACTTTATAATCCAGAAATGTTAAGTACAGAGCCATTTTGTGTTACGCTGGGAGAACATAATTTCTCATCTAAACCAGGATACATCTGAGAGTGAAAGGGGGGCACCAATAATAATTATGTTGAGACTGTCCCCAGTAAACCAGAACATTGGGTTATTCTACTTACATACCTTCATGCTATGCTAGATCTTCCCATTTCTTTAGCGATGGGCTTCCGAGAGCACTAGTAGTATAAGTCTAGTAGTACAGAGGGAATGCCAGGAATGAAGAGTTGGATCTGTGGTTCTAACCCAGGCTACATACCAGGACCACTTGGGGGCTTTGGTAAAGATATCTGGGCCTGGGCCTCACTCCCAGAGTCTACCTTAATTATTCTGGGGTAGGGACTGCATTTTTGAACAGCTTCCCAGATGATTCTAATTAGGTGAGTGCTCATAAACTTTAGTGTTTATTTACTTTGCCTGGGGATCTTGCTAAAAAATGCAGATTCTGACTGGGGAAGGCCAGAGGAGTCTGCATTTCTAATGGACTCCTTGGAGCCATACTTGGAATAGCAAAGAGTTAGATGAATTGCTAACCCCTAATGACACGTCATTGGATTAATCTAAAATTGTAAAAGCAACACCTGTATTTAGAGCCCTTGCGTGCATGGGCCTCTATCCTCTGGATCTCTCTCTGGTAGCTCACCCAACTTGACTTATGTAAAAGTGATCTCCTGTCAGCCTCCCCCTGTTCCTACTCCCTCCAGAAGACCCCTGCCTCTTTCAGCATCTTCAACTCAGTAAGTGGCTGAAAACCTAAGAATCATCATTATTCTTTTT